GCACACCTGAACAAGATTTAAATAAGCAAGTAGGAAATTGGGTTAATGAATGGGTGATACGAGAACAGAGGAAAGAAGAATGAACCAGAACAAAGGAAATATCCAATAAATTTTCCACAAACAATGTGTAAAATGATCGATTGTGTTTGTCTCTTTGGCGAGTTATAGTGTGGTGCTAGGAATAGCAAGGCTCACTGGAGGTACCGACTACGATGTCAGCGAAATGTCCAGGGGTGTCAAAGTACATAGTCCGTTTCCATCATGGATATTATCGCCTCCGGATGACGTATGTTCCTCTAGACCCTCCTAAAAATGCAATCAAGTTGTGAAAACCAAATCAAGCAATTAATTACGAAAATAGATCGTGGCAACACTAAAGGTCACAGCATCTTGGTCTTACTACATCTAATTAAGGCGATATACTTGATGATGTCACCTACGGACTTCCAAACTGTTTAATGTGAATATTCTGAATTCCATATTTGATAATCGAAAATAATAAAGCAGTAAATAAGGCAAACGTAGAGAATCTCAATTGGAGCCATTTTACCTTCTGACGTCGGAGAACGTCAATAAGGCGCATCTGTTTCTTGAAGCCAGTGATGAGATCTGCTTTTTGGCGTTCAAGTCGTTTGTTTTCATTTGTAAGCTCTGCCACCTGCTGTCTGGCTTTTTCTTGGGCTTGCTGGGCCATCGAACTAGCGGTTTCTGCTCGGTTACGCTGGCGATCGGTTTCCTTTAGCTGATTAGTCAGTCGGGCGCTAGCTGTTCGACCCGAGGCCACTTGCTGGTCTAGATTACGTTTAAGTGCATCCAGATTCTGATAAAACAATAAGTGTGCGAATTCAAATGCAAAAGCAGGAAAGATAGTTAATGTAGTTTAAAGCGCCTGATTTTCATGATTTTCTGCGTAACAACAAAGAAAATACATTAATATTAGGTATAAATACAGTAGTTTTCGTAGCATCAGACAATAAAAATTTTTTTACACCAATGATAACGATCTAATTTGACGAGAAGGTATCTCGACCAAGCTAGCACTTAATTATTTCCGAATAATATAGTACACATAAATTTAACAATAGTAAGCTGAGAGAAGGAGGATGTGCGTAGTTAAGAGAATACAAATCCTTTAAGAATAAGCTGGTCATCAGCCACTTGAATAGTAAAAGCAAGATGTA